AGCAACGTTTGGTTCTTAAAACTTCCAGGGTCTGGTGTCTGCGCTGTCTATTCCTTTTAGTGTCGGTAATAATTCTCTGATTTTTAAGTTTTTTTTAAGGGATTGCCCATGTGCTCTTCTTTTTGGACCTCCACTCTGAGGTGGGATCAACATCTAATAATATTGGTGTTTCTGGACCCTGTTGAAGCTTTTCTTCTACATTGTTATTTTACAAGGTTAGCCTGTCTTGTAACCAACACTTTGACTAAATTGTCTCTGAGTTATTAAAATTGTAATGTAAGGAGCCCCATTAGATTTTAAACAACAGCAAGGTTGTTTTATGACCAAGGGCCTCTCTTTGCCCATAGTGGTCTCTGCTTTTCACCTTTTGAAGAGATTTTGCTATTTTCACTGCAAGATGTGGTAAGGGCCATCAGGGTGTCTCTCATACACAGCTTTCTTTAGGCAGATGGAAGTTGTTCCTTTCCAGAAGTTGATAAAGGGGTTCTCCAGATTTCAGATAAACTATTTCTATTGGATTCAACAGGTTGTGATGAGGCATGTGTGCTGCAAGTGTTTTTTTCTCCCATTAAAATGTCCACCTCATTAGAACAGTGAGTGTTTTTCTTTTGTCATCTGGTCCTTGTGTCTCAGGTTTCTTCAATTGAAACCTATTTTTTGTGTTCTATATCATGGTATCTGCCTTGGCAGATGATAGTTTTGGACAAAAGGTTCTGCAAATGTCGGCTTTATGCCCTTGGTTTCCTATTTTACTTGATTTCTCTTATTGTGTTGGTTTTTCTGTGATTGTGTTGCTGTGTCCACCCGTCTGTTTAGCCAGCTTTCTGACATCCTTAGGTTGAACTTGCTTAATTATCATCAAGCTGTGTCCCTTACTGGACATAGAAAAAAATAGGACTTTTGTACTTACTGTAGTAATACCTACTTAGTAAGTACTTACTTTTGTAGACTGTACTGTACTATTCAGAGCCTGTTCAAAAACACAGCTCCCTCTCCTTTTTCCTATTGTCCTTTCTTTGGACTGTTTGGTACAACTGAGCAGGTGTGAAGTGAGAGAATTTTAACCTTAAATGGACAAGCCTTCATTTTTTTATGTGCCCATTGTCATTTTCTACTGTAGGTGGCAAAACAACTCTACATTTCTCAATTATCATTTAGCTGTGACGCTCAATGGGGCCCAAAGAAAATAATTTTATGGTGAGTACAAAATCCTTTCACTTGAGGAAGCATGGGGTTTGCTTTATATGTAAGCCTACTTTTCATATATGCAGACCTACTAGGAAGATAAAGGAGAAGTGGTTTCATGTTTTCTGAACCATAAAGAGCTTTCTGACTTTCAAGATTCTCTGTACCCCATCTTCCTGAATTTAGCAACAAAAGTCCAAAGGTAACAGTGAAGGGGAAACAAAACAAGAAAAATACTATCACAATTTGTACATTTTGAAGCTTGGTGCTGCTCCCTATCTCTGCTACCTGTATCACCAACCATTATAGTAAATACAACACTGTTATTTAAAAAACTGCAGATCTTCCAGATGACTTTTTTTTTTAAGTGCCATTTAGTGCTCTGATTGGAATTGTTAAAAACACTTTATGCTGGAGGTTCCTGAAATTCTTCTTTCAAACTTAAGCTGGATATATACTATTAGAATTTCAAACATAAATTCATATGAAAACTCCTAGGAAAATGTATGCAAAAAGTCTCAAATAGTTCAAGATTTCATTTGCCCAGCTTTACACAAGTGCACAATTTTAATGTGGTGTAGACCAGTGGTCCCCAAACCCCCAGGCCATGACCTGATAGGAACCAGGCTGCACAGGCACAGCAAGAGGTGAGTAGTCCAGGCCACACAGCAGGACATGAGCAGTGGGCAAGCAAGACAGGCATTGTGAATGTTTACAGTCACTTGCATCACCAAATATGGCTGCTTGTTCTTCTAGCACCTGCTTAACCCTAGTTGCGCTGAGCTTTGGGTCTTCTAAGTGTTTATCCTCCACAGTTCCAGAGCTCGCCACTGAATGCAGATGACAGATTTACAGTTACAAACTTCTGGTATCCAGAGAGGAGGTCAGTTTGTGTTTCAGCTGGTGGCAATGTGCCCTCCAACATTCTGAGTGTGGCGAACAGCTGCCGCAGCAGCAACATGTAAAGTTTACATAAATTGACATTGATAAGCCTACTGAGGGCATTGCGTGAGCAGACTGTGTGAGAGGAGGATGTTACTGTAGGGATCATACTAGGGCCATCAAATGGAGCCTGTAATCTTTGCTATAGTGCACCAGGTGACATATGCTGGATTTTCCCATGTAGGTTGAATAAACAATAGTGCGTGTTTATATTTATTTTGAGAGAGCTCCTTGAGGTTGGACTTTGATGTAATCCCTACCCTACTCCCCAGAGTGGAAGAGCTTTCTTTCTATATTAAGGAGAAATTACAGAGGTTAGACCAGTGTTACTCTGAAATAAAGTGCACAATAAATGTTTGAATCATCCTGATAAACACCTTCTCACTGGGGACTGCTTCTGTAGACCATTAAAAAACTCAGTAATGTAAACAAGCCAAAGTAGAAATCTGTTGCATAAGTGAAAGGCGAAGGGTTTATGTGAAAGGCCATGGGTGTGGAATAGAGGATCTACTGTTAGACAACAGGAGAAAAATGGAAACGTAAAAAAAAAAAAAAACAGATGTAATAAGTTTACCACCCTTTACATTATTTAAAAGCATATGTTTTGTTGTTTTTAAAGTGTATCTAAAGCACCATCTTTTTTTTTGTTTTTGATCAATTGGGCAAGGGCATTTATTGCTGTTTGTGTCTTCATTGGTGATACTCATCTTTTTTATTTCTTCTGGGGCCATTGCTACCAGCACATATAGTACACCTGGGAAATGTGAAGTTGTCACTGAAACAGGAAGTGAGTTGGCATTTTTAGATGTTCCTTGCCTGGATCAAAGAAGCAGTTCATGAAAAATTACCATAATTCTAAATGTACAGCATGTTAAGGCTCCATGCAAACTGGGCGTTTTGATCATGCAAACTGGGCGTTTTGATAACGCTGGTAACATTAGCTGTGAAAAGTCACATCAAAAACATGAGTTTTTCAGCATTTTTGCATTAGCATTTAGTGGCGTTTTGCCACAATTAGCGGTGTTTTCACGTGTTTTTCGTGTTTTGCGATTTTTTTGTTTTTTTTTAAAAATGATTATTTTTGCTCAAAAGAAGTCCAAAAATGCTGGATTGCAGCATTTTACAACATTTTGCCTCATTTTTCAGTGTTTTTCAGCATTAGAGCATTTTTACAGCTAAAAAACTCCTCTAGAAACCCACTAGTTCTGGATTTTTTTTCCAGGCAAAAACCATCCCAGCTAAAAAACGTTGATTACAGTCTATGTGTGCATGGACACATAGGATAACATGCTGGGGGCTAGTTGTAGAAAAGAACGTCAAAAGCCAAAAAATACGGCAGCTGTAAAGACATCAAGTGTGCATGAGGACTAAAGATAGAGCCTTTCATCTTATTTCTTCAGTACATTTGCAGGTCACTGCAGGTCACCCTTGTCAGAGTGAGTACAATTTGGATGTGAGAGGTTTGGAGTCTGACTTGCAGTACACAAAACCAATCTGAAGTTTGGTTGGTTGCAAAGAAGAGCAATTATTTTTTTCAGCTTTTATACATCGGCTTTAATGGAATGAAAACTAAAAAGTGCTGCTGAAAATATTTAACAAATAACTCTATTTCAAAATAATAATGTTCAGAGGATATGGATCACTAAGTACTATATTTCATAATTTTATTTTAGAATTTTCTTGTGCAAAATACATTAAAACAAGGAGGGACTTGAAGTGGGTGATTGCTGTGCCATGGCATCAGTCCAGTAAGGTTCCAGTGACAAATCACCTTGTCTGTACCCCATGCAGTGAATTTGATATTATTGTGCTGATTACTGACAGTGGCTTGGAGAGACATTGGTTTGGGATATGGGTAATTTCATCTGACATAAGGCCTGTCAGAGTATAGGAACATTTACATATATATTCATGAATTTTTTAAACTGTTATCAGATAGCAGCAGTGCTTATTTATTTATAATTTGTATGATATATGCAGTATGATGGGGTCTTATTGGTACATTTATCCTCAGGTTAACTGCCGCAGAAAGTCTGAAATGAGATACTAATTTGAATTCAGTTTTAATGTATTTGGTATATCTGAAGAGTTCAGAATGCTATCCATATTTAATAACACTAAAAAAGTTTGACATCAATATTTCTATAAAGCAGAAAATGCCTTGAGGACATAAAACAGCAAATGGGATTAATATAAGAAATGAAAAACTATGCAATTTCTAAAGGGAAAATGTGTAGTTATTTAAGCAAATTTTTCTTCTTTATTTATTAAAGAAAATGAGGTTGTACCTTTACAATTAATTTAACATGCACACTTGATATGACTATTTGATTTACTGGTATGCTGTACAACACCTCCTTCTAAATTAATTCTAATTAACCTCTTGCAAACAGCATGAAAGTAATCTGATTAACCTCTTGGCTACAAAATACATTCAGTTCAAAACAGATTTGTGTTAGCATCAAGCTCACAATAGCAACAGCAACAAAAACTACAACATTAGAGTACTTGCTCATGGTACTGATCTATGAACATCAGATATACTGGCAGAAAAAAATGGGGTGTGTAGCGCATGCACATATTTGCATGTATTTGTGTGTATGTGCACACACAGATAAAAATGTGTCTCTTTTTTTTTAAATCATGGGAGTGTGCCATACGCACATATTTGCACATGTTTGCGCATATTTGCACATGTACGTATGTACACGTGTAAAAATACTGACCAGCAACACAGATTTATGATTTTTTTTATGATGATCTATATGCAGCACATATTAAAAGTGATACATTTAAAGTGTTACTAAATCCAGAGCCCTGCATTCACTATATCTGGTCTCCCACAGTACACAGAACATGGAAGTTTAATTATTTTAGTAAATATAAACTCCTAAATACCTTTTCTCATCAGCAGTTAGAGCAGTCTTGTGACTTCTAATAGTGTCTAGCTGAGCACTGGTTAAAGGTTTTAGGAGGAGTTTTAATTTTGCTCTAGGAGGATGCAGAACCCCTGACCTCTGTCTGGACATTGCTGATTCGTCGTGTGCTGATCACATGGACTCTCCCAAGAAAAAAAAACCTTTCTAGCAATACACACCAAACTGAGCATGTGCAAAGTGACTCCACGTGATATGTTTTATCAGGAGATAAGAGGGGGACACTGGAAGAAGGGGAGAATCAGAGAAGTCAGGATCAAACTGTGTTTTTACACAATGCAGAGAAGTAAGCCCTTAGGTTTCACAGTGAGTACAACAAGCATGTTTTACTGCATATACAGATTGATTTTACTCTTGTGGGTTTAGTAACACTTTAAAACAAGCTCATGGCTGCTATTGGGATTGTGTGCTTGTTTTAATCCTACTCAATCCCATAATCTTTGGTACAGTGAAAGGGTTAAAACTGAAAAGCAAACCAAGAGTCTATCTTACAAATTGAAACACTACAATCAGAGGCGGACTGACAACTCATGGGGCCTCCTTAGCAATAGGGGATCATGGGGCCCCTGTGTCCTTTCCCAAACTCAAAAAAGCCTATGAAAAAGGTACCAGGGGCATCTCATGGGACCCCCTACTGACCCCGGGCCCTCGGCAGTGCCCGAGTTTCCAAATGATCAGTCCGCCCCTGACTACAATACAGTACATCAAATGGTTTCCTGCACAGTAAAGTTCCCAATCTTGGGTGTGCATGTGTGAAGTTACCACTCTGAGCAGTAATACATCTTCTACATTTATTCTTTGTGAGGAGTCATTCATATGAATTAGCAAGCAGTAGCAATGGCACAGCTAGCCATGGCAATTGGCACTACTTTAAGGCCTCATGCATACTGGGCATTTTACAGCTGTTGGTTTTGGATTCTGGAGTTTTTCTTATGCAGCAGTAAACCTCCCAGCATGTTATCTTATGTGTCCATGCACAAATAGGATTCAATCAGCGTTTTATGGCACGGGCGTTTTCTGGCTGAAAAAAAAACCCAGAACTAGTTTAGCTGTAAAAATGATTGTTTAGCTGTAAAAATGCTCTAACGCTGGTAAATGCGGTAAAACACAGGTAAGACATGACAAACCAGCATTTTTAAGCATTTTTTGAGCTAAATTTACTTTTGGAAAAAAAAAAATCTAAAAAACGCTAACGTGGAAAAATGTGGCCAAACCTGGCTAAATATTAATACAAAAATAGTAAAGAAGGTGGAAAAACATGTGTTTTTAACATGACTCTATACAACTAACGCAGTCTGCATGAGACCTTAGGGGAGTCAGGTGGGGTTTTTTTTTTTTACTACTTCCAATGGCTCTCCATGTTATTCTATGTGTCCATGCACACACGGGCTTTAATTAGCGTATTTTGCCAGGGGTGTTTTCTACCTGCAAAGAAAACCCAGAACTAGTGAGTTTCAAGAAGAGTTTTTTAGCTGTAAATTCTGGTAAACTCAGTAAAGCATGGTAAAATATGGCAAACCCGCATTTTTAGGTGTTTTTTGAGCCAAATTTATTTTTGGAAGAAAAAACTCCAAAAAAAGTGGAAATATGCAGCAAAACAAGGCAAAACGTGGTTAAACGCTAATGCAAAAATACAAAAAAAAAGCGGAAAAACTTGTGTTGTGACTATACAGCTAACACTGCTGCCATTTCTAAATTGCCCAGTGTGCATGAGATCTTAGGGGAGTCAGGTAGGTTTTTTCACTGCTTCCAAACAGCCCTCCATCTTATCCTATGTGTCCATGCAGACATAGACTTTTAGAAGCTTGTTTAGTGTTTTTTTAGCAGCAGCAGCAGCTTTACCAATAAAATAACCCAGGGCCAGTGATCCAGGAGCAGCAGAGTTTTGGTAGAAAAAATAGTATGAAAACACACCTAAATGCATATTAAAGCTAGGCGCAATTAGGGCTTAAATGGTAATTAATTTCAAGGGCCAGAATAAATTATTATCATGGCCAATGAAATGAATTAACGCCCAAGCGCTTGTTGCTTGCAAATGTGCCTAAACGCTTGTAAAAGCATGTCAGGTGCTTTTTTCTGCCGAAATGCTGCTGGCAAGAGGTCTGCCTGAAAATTTTTAAACCACGGTGCCGTCCAGGGGCTGTTTTTCATAAACGGCAGGGCTAATTCGTTGTGCACACTCCCTGGGAGCTCGGGATTGCCGTTCATAAATGGAAACCCGCTATTTCTCTGTACAGTTCCTCTGTACGAGGTCCCGATCATGTGATCACTGATTGGCCAATGAGTGATCACATGCAAAGTAGTAAGCAAGATGTCACTTGTGACATCATTACTTACTACGTTTGAAATCTGTGAATGATCACAGAGGTCACATGGTACAAGGCTATTCACAACAGCCTTGTACCATGTGACAAGCTCTGACCAATCACAGCTCACACAGTATTTCTCAATGGCTGCAAGAATGCAGAAGAGAGAAAGAGAAATGATTGCTTTTACATCCTATATGGGTGTAAAAGCAATCACTGTAAAAAAAAAAAAATTCATCACCCCCCACAAGTAGTACAGTGTCACCATGGTGACACTGTACTGCTAGGGTGACAGTATGTAAAAAAAAAAAAAAACATAAGTAATAATATAAAAAAAAAAAATAAAAATGTAAAAAAAAATGTTTAAAAATTATAATTTTTGGTTATAACTAATTTGGCATATTTTTTTTTTTTACTAAAAAGATAACGGAATAAATTTTGGCCAAGATTTATGAAGAAATATTATTTATTTGCAAAATTTTATAAGAAAAACACTTTTTTCAAAATTTTTGGACTTTTTTAATTATATAGCAAAAAAAAATAAAAATCCCAGCGCTGAATAAATACCACCAAAATACAGCTTTATCTGTCTCAAAAAAATTGGTAAAAAATTCATATGGGTACAGTGTTGCATGACCGCGCAATTGTCATTCAAAGTGTGATAGCGCTGAAAGCTGAAAATTGCCCTGGACAGGAGGGGGGTAAAAGTGTCCGGACAGGAAGTGGTTGAAACATTCTGCATGAATGAGGCCTTACGTTTGAATGAAATCCTTCCCTTAATTCTTTATTTATTGCTTGGAATTATTCAAGAGAAGGATCTCAATTACTGCATACTCTATTAACTTCTCAAGGGAGAGCATGAGGGAGATAGAAAGGGAGATAAGAACAGTAGATACTATCACTGAAGGCCTGTATCTCTGTTGGTTTCATGAACTTTTTAGTACATGTATGCTTTGGTTATAGTGTACATCTTCATTGCATTTCACATCGGCTTTGCTAGTGCCGGGCACAGCAGCCATCGGCTTTTTTCACAGTCTCGCTGCCTGTCAGACCTCAGACACAGCGACATATTGCAGAGCCATAGAAACCTTGACTGAATTCCTCCTTGACTTTATTGTGATACTGCTAAGGGGAATCCTGGAAAGATGGAAGGTTTGGTAAGTCAAGGAGAAAGTAACAAATTGTGCTGAGGGCTAATTAGATTTTGGGAAGATTTGTACTGTGAAGTGGATAGGTTTTGGGTTTTTTTAATTTATGTAAGGGTTCAATTTTTTTTTATTTTAATGTCAAATCATGCTGTTTTTTTAATTTATGTTTATGATGATAATGATGATGATAATGATGCTGCTGGTGATAGATTACAACAAACACAATTCATCAACATAAATCATTTCATTCCAGAAAAATGTGCAATTTTGGTATCTAGTGAGGTAAATAGTGTCATTCTTACACTGTAGCCTGCATGTACAAAACACACTACTACTGGTGGAATCAACCAGGTGCAAAACAATGAGTTTATAAAAAGAAGCAAATATTTGGGGGAGGCGAGTCCTAAACATCTGGATCATTTCCAACTTCAATCTAAAATAATACATAAAGACACTTGATAGTATGCAATATGTGTAAAAACATTCTGAACTGACACTTAAAGTGTTACTAAACCCAGCCTGCAATGTATCTGGTCTTCCACATTACACACAACACAATACTCACTTTTCTCATCAGGCAGTCTTGTGACTTCTATCAGTGTCCGGCTGAACACAGGTGGACATTGTACAAACAATGAGTTCATAAAAAGAAGCAAATATTTGGGTTGGATGGGGAGTCCTGAACATCTGGATCATTTCCAGCTTCAATCTAAAATAATACGTAAAGATACTTGATAGTATGCAATATGTAAATAAAAACATCACTGAACTGATCTTTTACGTCTTAAAGAGTTACTAAACCCAGGACCCTGCATTCGCTATATCTGGTCTCCCACAGTACACACAACATGGAAATGCAATTATTTTAGTAAATATAAATTGTTCAATACCTTTTCTCATCAGCAGTTAGAGCAGTCTTGTGACTTCTATCAGTGTCCGGCTGAGCACATGTTAAAGCTTGCAGGAGGAGTTTTAATTTTACTTTAGGGGGATGCAGAACCCCTGACCTCTGTCTAGACATTGCTGAAGGGCCCTGTACTGATTACATGCACTCTCCCAAGAAAAAAAAAACCTTGCAAGCAATACACACCAAACTGTGCATGTGCAGAGTTACTCCACACAATATGTCTTATCAGGAGACAAGAGGGGGGCACTGGAAGAAGGGGAGGATCAGAGAAGTCAGGATCAAACAGCGTTTTTACACAATGCAGAGGATTAACCCCTTAGGTTCCACAGTGAGTATAACAAGCATGCTTTAGGCTAGGTTCACACCTATGCAGTTTGCATTTGATCCATTTCTGCAATACTTTTTACGGTGCATTTTGCGTTTATCCACATGCATTTTTGCGCATTTTTTGCTGTGTTTTTTCCTTGATGCTAGGCAGATTAAAACGCAATAAGCAAAAACTCACTACGTGTTTTTCTGCAACATCTCCATTGAAGTCTATAGAACCAAAAACACAACTTGTTGAGTTTAAAAAAGTCCCTGACCCTTTCCAAAATATGCCCCGGGTGAAAATGAGCAGATGTGAACATGTCACAAAGGAAATAATGTTAAATGGACTGTAGTGCGTTCCTGCAAAGAGGAAAACACTTAGGTGTGAACCTAGACTAACTGCATTTAAAACAAATACAGACTGATTTTGAAGGGGGTTTACTAATGTGGGTTTAGTAACATTTTTTTTTTCAACAGAAGGTAATATCTTTATAAACCAGAAGTACAACATACATAAACCAGAAGTATACATCAGGGTGGGCCTTTTTTTTCAATGTAGCCAAATCCCAAAACCAGATTGAAATTTCTTTTGAGAGAAACATTTTCTTGAAAAACTGAAAAATACATTAGTTGCGTGTCTTTTGATCTCTACCTCTTCTGCTCCACTATCTCACCATCCCATTTAACCTAGGACAACAAAAATCTGTTTCGTATTCTAAGACTGCTAAAAAAGTCATTTACTCCACTCCTTTATTTTAGGGCTGAATCTAGCCTGTACAGTGGTTTCAACTCTTCTACACCTGTAATTAAATCACATCTTGAGCCTTGTATTGCCTGTGCCAAGCTATTATTATTATTATCAATGTCATTCTTTATATTACATGGTGAACATTAAAGTAGTTTGTACTTTACAGGAAAAAGGTGGAAAATACTGTGAATATTTTTTTTTTATTTGATAAACTGGCTGCTTGTTTTGTTCCCACACTGTCACATTTTTGAAGTTGTCAGACGTTGATAAATAACAACCCATAATTGTGTTTAAAATATGACAAGATTACCATTAGCAAATTGCTTTTGACAAATTGCAGAAACATTTTCTGGCGCTGTTGCCAAGGTTTAATGCAAGTTCTGCTGCTTTTCACTGGTGTGTAAATGACCTGATAAAAGCCAGCCTAACCTCCAATCAAACTCTGATGCATTATTTTCTGTCCATGGTGCTGAATTCAGAGATAAACTGATTACGTGCAGCAAAACATCTGCATTTGCTTGTGCTCCTATGCCATGTTTTGTAATGACCACACATATTGATTTCGGGGTATATGAGAGGTTAGGATGTTTGCTCTCTGAATTAATCTTGATTATGAATCAGCCTCTGTCTCTGCACAAATATCTTTCTTTTCTTTCTAGAAAAAATGAAATGAAGTCCATACTGTGCCAATGAGATTAAATAGTTTTCAAAAAGTACCATACATAACTTTTCTGCTGTGTGTACACTCAAAGAATAAATTACAGCCGTTTGTGGGCAGCAGAAAATATAGTATATGATTTTCCAGTGACTTTAACAAAAGTCTGTGGCTGTTTCAATATTTTTTAGTATTTTTCAGCCTGAAACAAAGTAATTTACTGTTAACTACATTGAGATCCCCCTAGTGCAACTAATGACTTGATACATTGTCTCATATTTTAGATTTTGATAGATTTGACATCTAATTTTAATACTAGTTGAATAATTATTATGTAAAATAGTGAAAACTTGGAAAATAAGCCATGGAAAGTGATATTTCAGCTTACAATATCAGCCAGGTGTTTACCAATTACGTATTTGTAAATTAATGCATAGGTCAGTGGTGTCTTTAAAGCAACCTTCCACATCAGCGGCAAGCTCTGCTTATTCAAGTTGCCACATCCCCCCTCCCTAAAATGCTGTATAAAATTACCTTTGGGGGGAGAAATGGTTATATACCATGCTTACCTTTCCCCAACTTCCTCCTTCAGCACCTGGCAAAGGCAAAGGGTGACTTCATCCTGATTCTGGTCAGATCCTTGAAAATGTGGCATTGTCTGTGCTTCTGTGCTATTGCAGTATCTTCTGGTGAGATTTGGGCCGCTTGGTATTCCCAGGATAACATCACCTAGGGGAGATATTATTTAACTAATTCACATTCCCCCACATGGGTACTTTTATGCAGTGTTTTAGGGAAGGGAAGAGGGCACTCTGACTAAGCAGACCTTGCCAATGAGGTGAAAAGTCCACTTTAAAGTGAACCTGTACCTAGACAATGAACATTAAACTATTTACATATTCTTTATAAACATAAAAAGAGCTTTAAAGCAAGTCATTCGTGACCTCTTTATATGCTTGTAATGTGAAGCGATTCTAACTCAAAAATATTCAAGGGTCACAAGAAAGACTGTTTCTGGTTTCTAACGGCTTATAAGCATCTTCTGTTTGTTTTACAGTATATTAGAGGGATAGCCGATTGACAAGTTTCTGTTGCAATAGAAGGTAATAAATAAATACAAAATTTCAGTGCCTCTGTTGTGAACTTTGAAGGCACATGTTCCCACAGTGTCTATAGCTACGGAGATAAATGTGGACTTGTTTTAAAGTGATTTTATTGCTTTTTAAGAGTATGTAAATACTTTAGTGTGCATAGTCTGAGCACAGATTCATTTTAATTTTGTGTCTTAAATTATACATCATAAGCTTACTTCCAGTCCACATCTGTTTCTTTTTTACCTGCTTCCCACCCAGCCACTGCACGTAAATGGCCAAGTTGGAGCTTCGCCGTTCTGACTGGATGTACCTATATGTCCCATCAGAATGTGTGTCTCGCCCTGCCTCGGGCCCTGCAACGGTACCATACTGTGATGGCTGTGTCCCAATGGAATATGGGCACTGTGATTGTCCCTCCCGATCATGTGATGGCTGTGTCCAATCACAGCTATCACACAGTGTAAACAGAGACACGTGTCTCTGTGTTGGCTCACCCGCTGAGCTCAGTAAGAGTTCAGTGCAAGGGGGATGCTGTAGCCTGACATTATCTGTGTGTAGCTAATGATTTTAATGTTCAGCTACACACAGATTACACAGACTACAGCCATCCCCACACAGTACGCCATGCACAATCTGTCCCTGTCCATGTGTCCCATCAACATCTGTATCAGTATCCCATCAAGAGTGTACCAGTGCACAAAACATGTGTTACAGTATACTAGTGTCCCATCAACATCTGTCACAGTGTACCAGTGTCACATCAACATCTGTCACAGTGTACCAGTGTCACATCAACATCTGTCACAGTGTATAGTGCACAAAAACATTTGCAATAGTGTTCCATTGAAACATCAACATCTGTCAGTGTCCCTAGTGGGCCATCAACATCTGTTAATGTCCGCCGGTGGATGATCAACATTTGTCACAGTGTACAAGTGCACAAGTGCATAAATACATCTATCAGTGTACCAGTATCCCACCAATAAATAAATAAAAACATTTAAAGTGCCGCCCATCCCCCCCATGCTTCCTGCAAAGGCAAGCGCACATGTCGGTCCTGTATGCATATGTAAATGGCAATATTGCCATGAACGTCAGAGTGAGAGCAATAATTCTAGCATCAGATCTCCTCTGTAACTCTAAATTGGGGACATTGGTGTGCAGTATATACTCGGCACAGCACCATATTTTAAATTTTACCAAAAATAGGGTATTATACTGTGTTTGTGTGCATTTTAATTCATTACAGTGTATTTTTGACTTAGTGTGTAATATTTAGTTAAAAAAAAACACTGCACAAATACTGTTTGACATAAAAATTAGCAAAATCCTCCATTTTATTCTTTAAAGACTCTGCTAAAAAATATATATAATGTTTGGGGGGTTATAAATAATTTTCTAGCAAAAATACTGATTTTCTACATGTAAGCAGAAAGTGTTGTAAGTAGGCCTGGTCTTAACGTCCATAACGCTTGAAGGTACTCCTTGGATATTGGACCTCTCTATGTGGCTAGGCTGTGAAAAAGTCTCATGCATGTGGTATTGCCATATTCAGGAGGAGTAGCAGAATGTGTTCTGGGGTGTAGTTGCAAGTATACTTTTTCCACGTGTGAGAAATAAGTTATATTAAGTTAATATGACAAAAAAAACAAATTGTATTTAATTTCTTCATTTTCCAAAGAATTCTGGGAAAAATTAGAACTTCAAAAAACTTGCCATGTCTTTTACTAAATACCTTGGATTATATACTTTCCAAAAAGGGGTCATTTGGCGGGTATTTGTACTGTCCTGGCATGTGAAATTGGCAGTCAGTATAATATATGTGATCAATTTTCAATGATTGGTACCATAGCTTGTAGACTCTATGACATTCACAAAGACGAAATAATATGCACTGATTCGGGTTATTTTTACCAAAGAAATGGTCAACATTTATGAAGAAAAATTACTTATTTGCAAACATAAGAAAAATTATTTTTTCACAGTGTTGCATGACTGAGTAATTATCCTTCTATGTGTGACAGCACTGAAAGCTGAAAATTGGCCTGGGCAGGAGGGGGTGAAAGAGCCCAGTACTGATGTGGTTAAAAACTATGTCATTTTTAAGAAGAATTTTGATGGATAGTTACACAACACCAGAGCTTGCCATAATGTTCTGAAACTGGGCTTTAGCAAGCAATTCCTCATTAAAGCATTTGTTGTCCCCCACACAGCAATGGTCTTATTAGTTTATGCTTGCTTTTGGCCCATGTATTTTAAAATGTAATCTGAGCTTTGCTCTGAAAAAAGTTTAGTCTTGTGAAATAAAAACAGAGCACTGGAATGATTTCTATATGAAAATCCAGACATTCTTGCCTGGAGTGGTATGCCACAGTAATGTTCTGACAGTTTATTACACCTCTTTTCCTGCACTACACCCTTTAAAACAATCACAGAAATAAAACACATTAGACAAAGAAAGGTAAAAGTTTCCCCAA